TTTTAGATGGAATCTCACTCTGTAACCCAGGCTGGAGTGCAATGTATGTTCTCAGCTCATTGCAACTTCCGCCTCCCAGGTTCAAGCGATTCTCCACCTCAGCCTCCCAAGTAGCTGGGACTACAGGCACCCGCCACCACACCAGCTAATTTTTGTATTTTTAGTACAGACAGGGGTTACACCATGTTGGCCAGGCTAGTCTCGACTCCTGACCTCATGATCCACCTGCCTTGGCCTCGAAAAAAAAAAAGAAAGAAAAAAGAAAAATCAGTCTCCCCAAATCTGAAAATTGCACTGATTTTCTAGTACACCAAGAACAGGCAGTTGCTAGGCTCCTGTGTGAGCTGTAAGAGGCGTTGGTGAAGCCTTTCCATAGAGCATGGAACAGGAGACAGAGTTCATGTAATGCTGGGTGGCGCAGCCCAGAGGGTAGGAAACGAGGAATCGGCTGATGATGCAGAATTAGGACTGATAGGAGAGAATGAGACAAGGTTCTGCCAGGACCAGAACAACCAGGACTGTGATATTGCCCTTCATCGCACCTGGCTAAGGATTTCACTAGTAGGCGGGGGAAGTCCTAGAGCCACTGTAAATATTACTATCTTGCCTGTGTTGTGTGCAGAGGCAGTTACCTCAAACAAATATATGTCATGTTTAGAAAGCAAAAAAAATAGCTGATTTATCATTCTCAGTTATGTAAAGTAGCAAGAAGAGTTTTGTTTTTTGTTTTTTTTTTTGAGATGGAATCTTGCTCTGCTGCCCAGGCTGGAGTGCAGTGGCACTACCTTGGCTCACTGCAACCTCCGCCTCCTGGGTCCAAGCAATTCTCTGCCTCAGCCTCCCAAGTAGCTGGGACTACAGGTGTGCACCACCACACCCAGCTAATTTTTGTAGTTTTAGTAGGGATGGGGTTTCACCATGTTGGCCAGGCTGGTCTTGAACTCCTGACCTCGTGATCCACGCGTCTTGGCCTCCCAAAGTGCTGGGATTACAGGAGTGAGCCACCACGCCCGGCCTCGAGTCTTTTGATATTATTAAGAAGAGATACTAGGGTTGGATGGGCTGCTAGAGAAATTTGGGTCAATTATAAGACCCAAAGAAGGGTGATCCAGGGAAAAGCACTGCACAGACGGTTCTTAAAGCAGCTCCCTAAAAGGAAGGATTTTCTTCACCTAGGGCCATTCCTAGATTCCAAGATAGAGGAAGATAAGGATTGGATTATCTTGTTTCTAAAAGATTGAAAAATAAGGCAGCAAAACAACAATATTTTGAAGTGTATCAAACTGCTTTTTCCTTTTGTGCTCCCGAATGTATACGTCCTTGATTTTTCAGCCCCTTGCCCAGTTTCCCGGACTGAGCCACAGAGAGAGAAGCCTGGTATCCCACAGGGAACTCCTCTGAAAGGACACAGGGACCAGCAGGGAACCGTGACTCTGGGCTGCCTTAGGGAGTCCTTTGTGGAAAATAGGGCTGACATTAAAATGTCTAAAGAAAAAGATAACCTATTTTCGTTTTGAAAATACACAGCCTTTTCAAACACACTGACGAAACAACAACACCACCACCACCAACAAAAAGCAGCTGGGCTACCTTTCTCAGTGACAGCTCCACGTTTGTGTCTGCGCTGAAGTTGTATTTGGCTATAGCTTCTCCAATTTCTCCGGGCTGGGCTGGCGGAGGTGGTCTCGCGGGCTGTGCTTTCTCAGGAGGTGTGAGTTTCTGTGAAGGAAATCGTCATCTATTCTCAAATCTGTGGTGACCTTGGAAACCACCACCATCCAAGAGAGAAAGGCAGAGGGCTTACCTCTACGTATGAGATCGGGAAGATGCCCACTCTGCCGTGGTGTTCTCCCTCATACCAATTTTGATCGATTTTCCTGAGGATGTAGACAGTATCTCCTTTCTTAAATGACAGCTCCCTGGAAGAAACACGTTGACACGGTCTTCTCGTGATGTACAGCGATAATTCTGAAGATCAGCACCCTCGCTAGATGGGCGTTTGTTTGGCAAATACACTTACAATATTAAAAAATCCGATTTGAGATTGAGTTGAGTCCAATTAGATAAGAATGATCCTTGCAAATTCTTAGAAGGTACTTAAAACATTATAACTTTAGAAATGATTTCAAAAAGAGTAACATTCCATTGGGTATAAATCATAGATTAATATGAAGTTTAAAGGAGGGGACAGACTCTTGCTACTTTATCATTAGTTCAGAAAAGAGGCATTTTGAAGCTTGGAAAAATGATGGAATACTTCTGCACTGATTTTTTTTTTTTTTTTGTCCTGAAGCTAGTTGGCTAGTTAGTTACCAGCCCCGCAGCCCCTTTTGATGTACTGAAGCTTACATGAAGGAAAACAAGTCTCATGTAGCCTCAGAATAGAAGTGCCAACACCAGAACAAACTTTATTTGTGGATCTTTGAAGTTGGTTGACAGGTATTTTAATAGAATAAATAAAAATATTTTTAAGACAGTAACTATATTTTTCCATTTTGGCTGTTTCTAAGAAAATTGTAGGTATATTTCATTTGGGCATTTATAATTTTAAGTTATAATGACATTATTCATTTTGAATAATTCACACCTAAACTTATCACCTTCACTACATCAACTTTTCCTGGCTTAATCACCAGGTGATTAGGTTGGTTCATTATTTTGCCTCCACAAGTATTCTTGGATGGAGGGCGATTAATTTGCATCTTCTCCCGAGAGCCTCGCTTTGCAACACATCTGCCTTCCCAATCTTCTGCATTGTTTTGTTCAGAATTTTCATTTCTTTAATCTTTTAAAAAAATTTTCATTTCTTTAATCTTTTAAAAAAATTTTGGTTCAGAATTTTCAGTTGGATCATTTATCAGTATATACCATATGATGGAGAGAGATTTATACCTGATGGAGAACGCTTCTCATTGATTAAAATCATTGATGGAAAAAATGGTGGCATATTAAAGGAATGATCACACATTTAGAAGTGCTAAAATCTTCACAACTGAAAATGTGTTAAATTTTCAGTAACCCTAAAAACAAAAAAGATTCACAGAGCTTTACATTCAAATACAGCGCTTCCTTCTTTTGTGCAAATGCCTAATATAAAAAACAGAAAGCAAAGCAAGATATTTAATGTTCGCAACACAACAGTTTTATTTGTATCAGGTATGTTTTGTTTCCAGAAATGAGACTAGCTTTTTAAAATGTATATGTACCTATGAATTAGAGGCAACCAAGTTTTTAAAGCTATGAAAAGGATTCTTTTGTATTTGTACGGGGTTGCATTTTAAAATTTTTGAAGTCCTTATAGACACAGGAACGTCTCTCGGTTTTTTTCAAAACTTGTGTCCCTCTCATCTCAGACCTAGAATTTTAAAGGTCCCATTTGCTTTTTTCCCCTCACTTTTATTTTTATTTATTTTTGAGACAGAGTCTTGCTCTTCACCTAGGCTGTGAGCGCAGGGGTTTGATCTTGGGCTCACTGTAAGCTCTGCCTCTGGGTTCAAGCAGTTCTCCGCTTCAGCCTCCCAAACTATGCTTGAATGTTGGTTGATAAATACATGTTACCAAATCCTCCAGCTAGTGTTACATTACTCCCAGATTACTTCGTGATTTATTTTACCTTATTCGATTCTTTTTTTGAGACAGTGTCCTGCGCTGATGCCTAAGGCGGACTGGCCAATGCGCAAACCAGCTTACCGCACAGTCTACCTCCAGGGCTGAAGCAATCCTTTCGTCTCAGCCTCGCGAGGAAGCTGTGGAACTCGTATACAGGTGCATGCCCAGTGGCCTGGGCTTACGATTTTGGTATTTTTTTGTGAGAGACGTGGTTTTCGCCAGTGGCAGGCTGTTTATGAACTGCCTGGGCTCAGTTATCTTGCCTTGCTTTGGCCTCCAAAGGTGCTGGGATTCACAGGCATGAGCTACGTGCCTGGTTCCCCAATACTTTGATTTAATTTCGAGTTATTGTGATGCAAAATTCTCAGAAAACAATATATTCGTAATTTCTTTTTGTATTTTTCACTTTTGCTTAGAACTCATTGTGTTTCCCACCTAAGCATGTTTAAAGTAATTTAAAACTCATGTCATTTTCTCAACTAAACTAAAATAAAAATAAAATGGACCCTATCCCAAGTAATCTGAAGGAACCATTTATTAAGTAGATTGACTGGATTGGGATATTCAGACCTCCATTTGTAACAGCATCCGCGTTGCAATGTCCGCTTTATTTTCGCTTAAAGACTTATTAACATTTTAAAACCAGCCTTAAAGTCAGTATCATGAGTATTTATTTTACTTCTTTAGGGTTACCTTAAAGATCAAAAACAGCTTATTGCAGGCAATTTGCGAAAAGGAAGATAGCAATTAGCACTAATTTAAAATTTGATTATTTCTCTACAAGAAAGTAGTTTTCAGTGTGCCTTAACAGAAAAAGGAAACCTCGACGGAATGATACATATGTAATGTCAATTCCTGGGTATTTAATTTAAAATAATCACTATTCTTCATTTATATATTTTAACGCTATCAACAGGAATTAATTTAGAAGGCTGTATCCACCATCACATTTTATTTTAGGAAGTAAGGAGATTAATGTTATAATGAGAGATATAAAATGCTCCTGCTGAGGTGGGGGGGTGGTGCATCCTGAGGCCATCATTTGTGGCTGTTCAAAGGGCTTCTTCCCAGGTAAATGTGGAGTGGTCAATGGCTCTATGTTCTATGGAGAATTGACACAGCTTTTTCTGAATCATAATAAAAGGACCAGATGTCATAAAAGAAGTCATCATTCCCTTTATTAGACACTTATTAACAATATTAGCAAAAATATTAAGCTCAATTGTATCACTAGGAGGTGTTACCAGGCAAAAGTATAGGTGTGATCATCTTGCATTTCCGTAACAGGGTTCAGGAACCCTTCAGACACTCTGTCCACCAGCCATTGTCTTTTAGTGGTGACTGTAATTGTAACAATGTACGCATTCTCAAACCTTTGGGCCCACAAATCTCCCTGGAGGCACCCGTACCCTATAACTAGCTAGGGCAGCTCTGTCCTTCCCCACCAACCAACAATCCCTTCACTCCATTCCTTTTCCCCATGACTCTGGTGAACTTTAGGAATCCTGGACCATTTCTAACTTCTTTGGGGATCCCACAGGCTCTGGATTACATCAGACACCTGTAAGATCCTTCTGGAGCGGATGCCAGCTAGTCCCGCTTTTAGTTTCCATCCAGCGCCTCACGGCTCCAAGGCAGTTTGAGCAAGAGCTCTAGCCCGGCTCAGGGCCCTGGACAGAGTTCAGTTGGTGGGTAGCTCCTAGGGGCAGTCTGCCTGAGAACTGGGCTGGTTAAAAGCTTCTTTTTAGGGATCCTCTCCAATAAAGTAAGCCACGCAAAAATTATTTATGTAGGTCTGTTATTGATTTACAACACAGTTGACATCAGGCTTTCCCTAGACCAGCGGGCCAAAAGAATTGTACAGAGGAAACCATTCCCGCCACAAGGTGCCCTAACTCAGGACACTTTTAGGTCACAACGGTTAAGTTCATGAGCATCAGATCAAGGACTCGGAGAGGCCTCATGGGCAGACTGGACTACCACTAGGGAAGACCCAGAGCTAGGGGCAGGGCGCGGACTGCTTCGAGGGTCAGAGTTGCTATGCTCGGACTCCAAGGAAAATTGTTTCTAGTTTCTCAGTATTTTCATGTTTTCTGTCGAGTTCTTTACTGGTTTGGGATAATGTTTGGCTGACAAGTGCCCTATCAAGTGGGTTGCTGTAAAAGACTCCAATGCTATTAAATTAACTACCTCTTTTTCTGGAGTTCCTCTTCTTTCCCTTGGTGTACTTCTCCCTGTGTCAGTCAAAGTGGATGAGTAACTTCTAGGGGACTCACGGCCTATTGGAAAGAACAGGGCCAGTCACAGTGAGTATCCACTTAATTACAAGTCAACTTGTTCTGCCATTTTCCCTGGTGGCAACTATTTTTTCCCCAAATTTGGAGAGACACCATTGTCAAACACATGGGTATAAAACTCATAGGTCATTACAAAATTGTGAAATAAGACACAAAACAAGAGCATTTCAAAAGGAAAAATATCTGAGGTTGCAGAAGTATTATAAGTGTCTATATAAATATAATAGCTACATTGCTGATTAATTATATTGCCACGCTCACTATAGACAATTTATAATTAGAGGGATTTTTCATATAAAAATTTTTCAAAACTTTCCGTTTCTATGCCTTTGCCTCTAATTTATAATTATTATTATAAGACTTAAAGAGGATGGAGAATTTGAAAACAGAAACAAATTGTAGAGAAAGAAACATTTTGTGGAATAATTTAAGACAGTAGTAATGAAAAAAAAGAGATAAAACCAAAGAAAATATGAGGATGACAAGAGTGTGGATGAACATTCTCCTTTCACCTTACTCTCCCCTCTTCTTTCTTACTCTGTTTTTAAATACTTATTGAATCTTAAGATGCCATACTGTTTATCTCCGCCCTTTTTTGTGCCCAGATGATAAACACCTTATCAGAAAGCAAAGAAACAGAGATATTGTTTCTTCTTACTGCAAGCAAAAAAGGGATAAACAGAAAGCATCATGTCAGTTGCCAAATTGCTTATGAAATATTGAATTCATTTTGAATTTGAATTGAAATTCATTTTGAAATTGAATTTGAATTGAAATTCATTTTGAATTTGAATTGAAATATTGAATTCATTCTTAAAGCAAAGCACAAATAATCACATTACAAAATTATGATTGCATGTAGTTCTTAATAGTATCTTATACCTTTTGCATTTACGTGACTTACATATGGAGATGTAAGTAGACATTAAAACTATTCCAGCAGTCTATGTCATAGAATTTTATCAGTATAACTGGGTCAATATTTGTCAATTCTTTCTTTTATCCCTTTAGTAAATCTAGTTATCCAGACTGACAAGAAGCGTTAAAAATAAAATTTATTTTATCCATCTATGAAGGAATTTAAAGTGCTGATTCATAATAAGAAAACATTGTTTTAGGGTCTTGACTACTTTGATGATATAAATTCTAAGTTAATATACTTTTATGATCAGAGGGCCTGATAATGATCACAAATTTTAAATTCCTTTTTCTACCCCATGGAATATAAGCTATTTTTCACTTGGGTGAAACACAATTGGAAAGTAAATATTTTATTAAAAAACAAAATACTTTTAAATGCATTTCAAAGCCCTTTCAAGTCATGTTTCAAAAATGTGCTCTTATCTGCACATAAAATTGAGACATGATTATATTAGGATATTAAAAACCTGGAGAAGGTAGCTAATTTATTAAAAAATTGGATCCTGACACATTTCAATTAGTGAAAATTTTCGATTGTAGAAATTGATTTTTAAAACTCTCATTGATGATTTTGAAGCATGTTGCTTCAGTCTAAGGGTAAGCAAAGATAAATATAAGTATATAGTACAGCATCAGTGAAAGCAAAGAAGATAAATACTAAGTAGATTTGTGCAAGTTGATTAACGATCGAGCCATATTTGACACTAATACGAACTGTGAATTATGTCTTTCTTTGTCTGAGATTATATTTTATACTATAAATTCTGAATTATTAGGAGTTTGAATCCCTTTTCTGTTACCTACTCCCTGTGTGACCTCGGACAAATTTCTTATCCTCTCCAGGCCCAACTTTGAGAATTGAAAATGGCTCTTAAAACAACACCCATTTCATAGGCCTAGGCCAGTTTTGATTAGATAATGTATATAAAGCACTCTGTAGTGTCTGGTGCATAGAAGTTTCTCTATTGACCAACTTTCAGCCCAGAATGTTCATTCCAGCCTCTTAAAATTTACATAGTGAACAGATGCGCTCTAAGAATTAACAAAAAGAATTGGTCACAAATATTAAAACACTCTGGGCTATAAGTTATATAAATCTCAAAAATAGTCCTCTGCCTTTCAACTGCTGTTTATTCTTGTGTTGCCACTTCAAAGTTATCTATGAAAACAGAATCACTTTTAGCCTGAATAACATAATTCAAATTTCAATACAGGACTGTTTTAGCAGAAAGAGAAAGTGAATGAATTAAGTAATGGAAAAGAGAAAATGAATACACTAAATGGTGGAAATGGGACTTTTATATATACAGCTTAAAGATACATTCACAAAAATTTTATCACAATTGTGTCCTTGAAATGGAGAAAGCTATTAAGCAAGTCCTAATTTCTTTGTGTCCATCAATTACTGATCACATCTTTCAGTTTTGCTTCTTGAATGTTTTGATATAGTATCTTCTATATAGAATGTGAGCAAATTATTTATGAACAGAATGAATATAAAGTTTTAAAGTTAATATACACATTTTTAAAAGGCTATTTGTGGAACTATAGGTTTTGATTCATGTCACAACGTAATTTATCATCTCAGTGTGAGTAATGGTTGCTTCAACCCTAATCCTGAGCTACACAATGGCCTTCCCTCTCGTTTTTGAAAGAGTAAATTTTTGTGAATTGATGATCACTTTAAGCCACACATCAAGTCCAAATATCACATGGGCAAATGAGCAATATTCAGTAACACATATTTGCACAACAAGTTTTTGCTTCACAACACATAACGACGCCAAATGGTCTCCCAGCTCAGGAGTGATGAGATGTTGGAATGGACAATGAAAGAGCTGGAGGGTGGGTCTCTGAACCACAAGGAAAAAGAAAGAAAAGCTCATCCACCTTGGAGTGCACCGCCACGGTCCTGGTGGTGGTGGTAGTTGTTGGCTGTGTCCACATCTTGGAAAGAGGCACTGTGAGGCATTCTCCCGCAATCATTCTGGTAGGGTGGACAATGAATAGCACCATCTTGAGGCAGTGGGTGGAGAGGCTGGTGCAGGGGGCTCCTCCTCAGTGCCCTCAGGGACGAGTTCCTCTCGGGAACATCTGGCAGCAGCTCACTGATGAGACGGTGCAAGATGCTGTTGTCTGGCAAGCTCCCCCTTTTCTTTTCAGCTTTAATTTGGTCACAGATGTCTTTAAGGGCAGAGTCCAGAGCCTCAAACACAGATGCTTTACATGTTGCCTTTTCAGTCTGTTTCTTGGGGGCTGAATTTCTTTTCCTGCGGAAAGGCACAGGGCTGACTAGAAAAGCCAGTTTAGAAAGGCCAGGGTCCATTTCTTGCCTTCTGGGCTCCTCGGGGTTTTCGTGTCTGGCTCTTTCGTGTTTCAACATCGTGGTAAATCGAGTGTAGGAGGCCGGGCATCTGCCTTTGCAGGAGCTGATGAGGTGGCGGTGGTGGTGGTGGTGATGGTGGTGGTGGTGGTGGCTGGATCCATAAAAGCTTTCCGAGGATGTGAAGGAAAAGTGATCAAAGTCACTTTCACTGCAGAAGGATGACCCCTCTACGTGAATGTAGTCACTGTGGTCAGACACAACCCCATCCTGGTCGCTGTCGGAAAACTCCACGTGAGCTCTGGGCTGCTCATCGCTGGTGACTTCAATGTGAATGGGCACCAGGGCGTTAGACGTGCAGCCTCGTTGGCCCTGAGAGGGGTGTCCACTCTGATTTTCTTCCTCCAGCAAATACTCAATGGAGAATCGCCTCTTGGGACATAAGCCGTTTTGTGGTGGTTCTAGGGTGACGGGAGATAGCATGTCATCCCCTAAATTGGGCATGGATTTGGACTTCTGAATCAGCTTTTCGAATTCGGAAATGCGCGTGGGCACCATGTCTCGGGGCACCTCCTCCGTGGAGGACTGGCTCCAGGCCTGCAGCAGGCCCTTGTGCTGCTGCTCGCTCTCGTACTGCAGTATCCTGGACTTCACGGAGCAGATCACCTCGGAATTCATCAGGTCCTTGCGGTTAATGCGGTGCATCTTCTTGTACATCTTTAGGAACCCCGGGGCGTTGTGGGCTGACCGGTGTCTGATCCTTGACCTGCCGGCGCTGCGAACCTCCTGGATGTAGGGCGACCCCCAGGCTCTGCGGCAGCTGTCTTTGGAGTCCTCGTCACACAACAGGGAGCCCATACTTTCTGACTTGATTTTCGGGTCCGGGAAGCTCTCGCAGTCATCATTTAGGAGATCGTCACAGCTCCGGGATTTCATTTTGGGAGAAACGGTTTCTTCTGTGCTGCTCCAGATTTCTGCGTTTTGCCGGGCCATTTGCCAGCCGTTCTTGAAACTGATGGCCCTTGGGGAGTCCCGAGGGACGTCTAAGTGCTGTCTATAAGTGCTACAGTAATCTAACTCACTGGAGGGGTTGCCGTTGAGCCCTGAGTAACTGCAAAGGGATGGACACATTTTGCTATCATCCCCACCTTTTAATCCAGAGCAGCGTGGTAGAAGAGAGACATTTGGAGAAGTTAAAAGGTTCACAAAGAGAGGAGAGCATGTCAGTAAGCATCAGACAGCACAGCAAGGGGAAAGCAGTTAGTGTGTTTTAGTCTAGAGGCTGATTGTTAACGCGTGGAGCTTCGGCTCTAGAGAAGAAGGTCTAATTCTAAAGCGAGCTAATACTTTTTCAATGAATGTAGCTTTGCAGAGAGAGTTGGCAAAACTATGCCTAAGAAGTAACTGATAGAAGCAAATACGCCTACTTCTATTGCATAATTCATACACCTTTCTGACAATACTGTTTGCCAAAACACAATAGTGCCTCTTCAGCTGATAGCATGATCTGGTAGTAAAGGTTTAACAATTAGTGTCAAAAGTGTTATACACTTAATTTAATAGGGCCGGAATTTGAGTCTCATTTGATTCGTAAGGATACATAGGTAGAGAGGGGTTTACACATTTACATCTAATTAATACTCTCAGGACTATATCAAATAATTTTTTATGGGTTTTGGATTTTAAAAGCTATAAGGCAAAGTATTCTCCAAAATTGCAAAATCAAAATGCTGTGAACTATTGCTGCTAATGTTTTTCCAAGAAAAAAAATAGCTAAAGCTCCTTAAACTAACTAATTTACCTCTTAAATTGCTCTACCTTTAACCTCTTATTAGGTACATAGTTCTCATAGGAAAACTGAATATAATGCAAAGCTTTCGTCAGAGGCGCATATATCATGCTTTTTTTCTGGGAAGAGTTTTAAAAAAAATATTTGCAATTTGATAATAGAGATGTACACTTGGATTCAATTTTGAATAGCTATGGAAATGTTCTTTTGTTTTGCTGAGTTAACTAATAAATGAGAAGCCAAATTATATCTAACAGGACATTTTCTTCTTAGAAATAAAATCTAACGGAGGAAAATGTCTCTGTTCAATACGCATACCTTACAATGTTCTCTAAATTCTTTAAAAGTAGGTGAGCATGTTAGGTAGATATGTACTGCCTGGGAAAGGAAGTTGATTTAACACTCCCTGTGATAAAACAAATATCTACATTTATCAGAATCCTTTTAACTTTTGGGTAGTATACAATAATAATGAGTCAATGGCATTGCATGACTTACTTGTTACCTTAAGATATTCACTGGAATAAGTAAGTTGGATCTGAGAAGGCATCTCTGCTCCTCAGAGGAGAGGAGGATGGATGGAGCTCGTATGCCCTGAACCATCAGCTGATATCACAGCTTTACGAGGCCTTAAAAGGGCTAGGCCTCCACCTACTCAGAGTCCAATCATCACAACCAGAATATCTTTTGCACACAAATCAGCTATCACTTTTAACTATCATGTGGCAATGGTTTTAGTGAGTATAGTTGATAGGTCTAGTTTTATAGAAACTTATGTTAGAGCTCAATTTCTTCACACATTTCAAAATCTCTTTCTCTTCTGTTTCGATCCTGAGATATTAGAAGAGATTGTGTGGTCCCATATTTGGTAGAGCCCTAGCTCCCTGTGGGTGCTGGTTCAATCCTCACTCTCCATCTCAGAAATATTCCTGTCCTCAAGGAAGACCACTAAATGGTATCCCAGAAACCAGAGGGAGTGACTTACTCCTTTCAACAGTGAGCTCCCTACACCTGCAGTGAGGAGACAGGCCGCCCAGAAAAAAGGCTTGGTGATTCCTGAATGACGTAATTATGGTCCGGGACCCATCAGTCCTGACTGTGAACTGCTGTGAATTGACCACTATGTTACCTGGCAGGACGTGGATGCTCCACTGTTCATACGAAGGTGGCCCAAAATATACAGCAAATGGCTAAAGAAATTAATAGGTCGGATTTTGTTTTTAAATCTAGAATTGAATAACTTTTTAAAACCTCCGAACCAATGTATATTTTAGGTAACAATTTCCTCTGTTGCTGCTTGTAATTTCTATCCTATAAATTTGACTGATTTGCTAGTTGCAGAAACATTAGAAAATTTTGACTATACCTCAATGTTTACAAATGACATCTTTTAGTAGCCTGATGATACATATTTGATACTTTGAATTTGTTTAGAAAGGGATCTATTTGGGGGGAAAAAAGCGTTAGCAGATGCTAGTCAGAGTTCTTGAAGCAACCTAAGTGGCTCGCCAGCTTGAGTCAGTCTGGGTGGGAAGAAAGCTATTGTTCTAAAACTGTATTTTATTCCAGACACTACGTGGGAGCTGGCACGTGCCACTATCACTGGGCCAGCTTTCACACAGTGCTCTAGGCTAAAATGTAAACTAGTAAATTGTTGTGTTTTCATTTACTCTTGCTCACCTTTTGCTCTCGATGGGGAAGAAGGAGAAGAGCTAGTGAAAGACTTTGTAAGGGTGGTGCTTGATCCTGGGAGGTCCGCTCGGCCTGGGCTAGTCCTGCTCACACTTTGATCTCCCAAGCCCCGTGGTGGACCCACTGCAGGCTCGCTCTTCCTCCGCTTCCTGAAGTCACTGGCCATGCTTGCAGAACTGAAAGAAGGAATCAGATCTGTTTGACTGGCACTGGAGGAGGTTAAGGTGTGCACCAGAAAAACCAGTGGAACGTGCTAGTGACTCCTAAACTTCTATCCCCAAAACTGCATGACTAGGAACCCATCCCTCGATGTTCAACATGATTTCTCTAGAAGGATCCCTTTAAAAATGAATAGACTTTATTATTTATTTATTTTGAGACGACTTCTGGCTCCGTCACCCAGTCTGGAGGTGCAGTGGTGCCATCACAGCTCATTGCAACCCCAAACTCCTGGGCTCAAGGGATACTCCCGCCTCAACCTCCTGAGTAGCTGGGACCACAGGCGTGTGCCACCACATCTGGCTAATTATTTAAATTTTTATTTACATAGAGACAGAGTCTTACTATGTTGCCCAGGCTGGGTTGAGACAGAGTCTCAAACCCCTGAGCTCAAGTGATCCTCCATCCTCAGTCCCCTGAAGTGTTGGAATTACAGGCATGAACCACTGTGCCCGGCCGACTTAATTTTTTTAGAGCAGTTTTAGGCTTGCAGAAATGATGATTGGAAAGTGTAGAGAGTTTCCTTGTAGTCCCTTTCCTCTTGTACAGTTTCCCTTGTCATTTACATATTCTTTTAGTGGGGTACATTGTTACAATTGATGGATCTACCTTGATGCATCTTCACCCCAAGTCCATAGCTTATATTTGAGTTCGTGTTTTGTCTTAAACATTTTATGGGTTTTGAGAAATGTATAATGATGTGTGTCCATCACTAATGTGTCAATCATATAAAATAGTTTCACTGCCGTAAAAAGTTTCTGTTCTCCAGCTTTTCATCCCTCCCTTCCTCCCGCTCATCCTGGCACCCATTGGTCTTTCCACGGCCTCCACAGTTTTGCCTTTTCACCATGCCCAGTTGATATCATGCAGGATGTGGCCTCTCGGATTGGCTTCCTTCACTCAGTAATATACTTTTAAGGTTTCTCCATGTGCTTTTTGTCACTTGATAGCTCATTTCTTTGCATTGCTGAGCCACATTCTATTCCACAGATGTGCTAGAGTTTATTTATCCATTCACCTATTGAAGAACATCTTGGTTGCTTCCAAGTTCTAGCAATTATAAATAACGCTCCTAAAAAAACCGCCTGCTGGTTTTTGTGTGAACGTAAGTTTTTAAACATCTTTGAGGTCAAGATTCTCCTATAGTGAAATATGTTGTGATTGAGAATTCAGTGCTGTAATTTGTATCTTATATCTTTTCTCTATAAAGCAGAGTTCCAATAACATGAATATACCCAGAGTGGCATACCAAATACAGGAAAGAACTGAAAAAAAAAAAAAAGGCATCAAGAGAGGCAAATTTCTCTCACCTCAAGGGTTGCCTGCAGCTTGTCCTATCATCTTAGCTCTAGAAGACGTTGTATTGGAATTCCAACATTTTCTATTTAAATAATGAATGAAGGCTGAGCATTATGGTTCATGTCTGTAATCAAGTACTTTGGGAGGTCAAGGCTGGAGGATGGCTCAAGGTCAGGAGTTTGAGACCAGCCTGGACAACTAGTGAGACCCTGTCTCTACAGAAAAGAAAAGTTAGCCAGTTGTGCCATGTGCCTGTAGTTCCAGCTATTCAGGAGGCTAAGATGGGAGGATAGCTTGAGCCCAGGAGTTTGAGGCTGCAGTGAGCCATGATTGCACCACTGCACTCCAGTCTGGCAACAGAGCAAGACCCTGTCTCATCCGTCAATCAATCAATAGTATCAGTTACCTGGTCAGCAAATTAACTATTAAAGATTCCTTCCTCTCATTTGCATAAAATACTGTCAATAGTCTAGACTAGCAGGGAGTTTGTGTCATGGTTTTGAGTTTGAGTACAGTACATTTAAGACAAATGTTAATGAATGAAGCCACACATGGCACGGCATACTGTGCGTGAAATCCCTGGATTCTTAGACAAGAATTGTGTAGACAACAGTGGTAACAGCAACAGCAGCAATCCCAGCTCCCAGGGAGCCCAGCAGAATGCTATGTGCTTTATTTACGTTTTTGTCCTATTTAGCCCACACAGCAAACCTATGAGATATGTGCTGTTATCTCAGTGTTACAAATGGTAAAGCCAATACATGTGCCTGGGATGTACGGAAGCCGAGAGGCAGACCTCAGAACTGGTTCGTCCTCTTCTGAAGAGGATGCTGCATCTTCCTAGACCTGTTTTTGCTGTGATTGTCCTGTCATGTGAGGGTCTGTGTGTCTTTATGGCAATCTTTAGATTAGATTAAAACTCTAAAATTCAAATGTTTTAAGTGCATAGATAGAGGCACAAGATAAAAAGGAGGGTTCGAGAGTTCCTTTCTCAGGGATGTTATTGTAGTTGGTTGGCACTCAGAAACCCAATTTACGATTGACCCAATTCACAAAGAAATCTACATAGAAGGGTAAATTAATGCTACTACATAAATATTTGTTATTGATGTTACAATAGGGCTGGGAGTTTGTATTATTCAATATTACTATTGAACTATGTCTGAGTATGTCTGAATTTTGTGATTTTTTTTTTTTTTTTTTTTTTGAGACTGAGTCTTTCTGTGTCTCGAGGCTGGAGTGCAGTGGTGAGATCTCAACTCACTGAAACCTCTGCCTCCCCAGCTCAAGCGATTCTTCTGCCTCAGCCTCCCGAGTAGCTGGGACTATAGGCGCCTGCCACCATGTCCAGCTAATTTTTGTAGTTTTAGTACTGATGGAGTTTCACCCTGTTGGCCAGGATGGTCTCGATTTCTTGACCTGGTGATCTGCCCGCCTCGGCCTCCCAAGTGCTGGGATTACAGGCATGAGCCATCGTGCCTGGCCATGAATTTTGTAATATTTTAAAGAAAGTGTGATATTTAAAGCTAACAGAACTTACCTCAGGCAAACTCTGAGGGAAGTTAGGCCTAGTAGTGACAACTTATCTTGCCTCAATTTCTTTTTTTTCTCTCTCCTTGCCAACTGTGTAAACTCGGTAAGTTACTGAGCCTAGGTGTCACCTTCCTCAGAGATAAAGTGGGGACACTAGTATTTAACCATAGTGTTGTCTTAGGATTAAATATGTTTTGTTCTTATGCCTCATTTATTGGTAGTATTAATAAAAGCATTTCTGATTTGTGTGGTCAGAGTATAATCAACAAATATGCGTAAAACAATTTTTAATCTATAATTTTTTTCAAACATATTATTATAAGGGCCACTTAACAACATTGAAAATTAGTTACTTACAATTCCCATCTAAAGAAAAGAAAACTGGGTATAGGGGAGTAAGGGAAGAGAAGGATATCTCGGTCTATGAAGGAATTTATAATTAGTTCATTAATTTTTTGGAAATTCTTGAAATGATCATATAAAATGATGCTGAAACAAAATAAAACGACTTCATGAGGCATGGTACTTCAAATAAAAATGAGTGATACATAATACTCATTACTACTTCACTGAATAATTTTATTGTTGAAAAAGAAACCACTGTTATAGAATATTCTGCTACAACATAATGAGATTCTTACCTCATGGGTCTTTCCAGGCTTCTGTCTACAGACGACTGATACAAGGAGGCCTGTTAAGATAGAATAACAGTCCCATGAAAAATTTTACCGTGGCAGAATTTTGTTCACTTTTCAACATTAAATTAGGTATCCTAAAAAGAATATTACAAAAATTGAGGTTGAAAGTACCATTCATTATGACTGTAAAAATGTCTTCCTAAAGAGACATCATGCAACCTGATTTCTACTTTGGACCTATCTGCTTTCTTTTCTGATATAATGCACTGTAGTTCTCTGTGTAGCTCAAATTATCCACAACCCAAGCATTGCATGGGGGAAATTAATAATATTTTCTCAGGAACACTGAAATAAGAGCTAAAGTTATTCTACAACCTCAACTTCAGAATCTTACCTGTTGACTGTACATAGAAATTTCCTATAGAAAGGAATGGTTTGATGTTTAAAAAAATTTGCAGCCATCATTCAATCCTTATTTTAAAGTCTTTGTTATTGTTGTTATGAAGTATTGTCTTCAAAATGTAACACATAAACAGAACTTAAGACAGCATTCATCTGTCAACATAGACACGACATTTAAATAAAACCCACGGAGTTTGACTTGAAGAAACTAAAGTACCTGGTACTTCAATCAGGTAAACAGTCACACTTTTACAATTCGGCAAGTTCAGGGTTAGTTTAAAATAAATGAGCTAAAGAATCAAAATATGACTTTTTAAAAGTGCACTTTAAAATTTTTCCTTCATTCTGAATAATACACCGAAATAGATAGTAAGCAAAACTGATAATATTAATTTTTTATTTTCCGTGGCATCTACTGGGATAATTGCTAAAATATCTAAAAGGCAAGAGAGGACACTGAGCTATCAAGTGTTTGAGGTGACACTGTGGTATGATGTCCAGAAAGTATAGGGAGATGGCTGGGCATGGTGGCTCATGCCTGTAATCCCAGCACTTTGGGAGGCCAACGCGGGTGGATCATCTGTGGTCAGGAGTTCAAGACCAGCCTGACCAACATGGTGAAACCCTGTCTCTACTAAATACAAAAAGTGAGCCAGCTGTGGTGACACATTCCTGTAATCCCAGCTACTCAGGAGGCAGCGGCAAGAGAATTGCTTGAATCTGGGAGGCGGAGGTTGCAGTGAGTCGAGATCGCGCCACTGCACTCCAGCCTGGGCAATGAGAGTGAAACCCCGTCTCAAAAAAAACAAAAACAAAAACAAAAAACAAAACAAAACAAAAGTATAAAGGAAGTATAGGGAGATGTATGCCAAGTATAGATAGTTTTGGCTTTGGTCATGTTTGATGATCAATTCATCACAGATAAAATTTGGTTTGCTGAAGAACTGGAATTCTAGTTTAAAAACATTTGTCTATGAAAGCTTAAAAATGTCAGCCAGAAAGGCAAGATTTGACAAATGTTGTCTTAAGTTGTTATCATCTAGAAACATTTTATCAAGTACTAAAAATCTACTTAGTGGAAATCAAATCTCACTTTACAAACTATTTCTATAACTCAGTTTTCTATTAATTGGTAAATTAGCACCAATTAATCAATTAAAACATTAGTGTATAGTTTTGCAATTCTGTATGAATCTCAGTCTTACAAGGTCCCTTTTGCATAACTTATGCTTCTATTAACTAATATTTTAATTTAATTCTATCTTACTAAATGAAAATGGAATCTTGCCTAGAAACAAACGCATCTCTGCATGAGAATATTCCCATCCTCCTTTCAGACAGAAAAAGTGGATTCTAATATTTTTAGTTCCTAGAAAATGTTTAGATTCCTAGGTTCTCAACAAATATAAAATTAGGAGAAAAGTTTGGTTTGCCAGTCTGATATGTTTACATGATTATTTTAATTTGCTGAGCTCTGAATCAGACACTGGGAAGGTAAAAAAATAGATACTAAATATGAAAGAAAGCAAACAAGTAAAAAAATAAAATCAGATAGTTGTATTACCATTAGGAAATATTAATTCTACTTGTTTGTACAAGAGCAACACCAACAAGCCTGAGAGCATTGGCGTCTGTGCAGAGCATGGTTTTCAAGGGACACACACACAGCTAATGAGCAAAAAGTGTCAAGTTCAGAACACTCTGAGAACACCCTGACCCTGATCAGAAAACTTGAACTGTCAACTTATAATGAGCCTAAACAACATTGTAATGTGAAATAAAACGTAGTAGAAGAACTCATTGTGTTTCAGAGTTAGGCTAAGAAACTACCATTTCTCCTTGTACTAGTTTTTACATTCAAAATAAACTAAAACCAGTTTTGTGGTTTCATGTACACTCAGAGAAAGTTCAGTATTAAATTATAAGACAACGGTAAAAAATCTAGATTGATGACTGAGAGAAAAACTTGTACAATAATTGTAAGAAGGGTACTCATCCCAAAATGAAAATTGTCTCCAGAAAAGAGGTTACGAATTTTACCAATTATGACCTACTGAGTATTTACATATTACCATTATTTTAACACACTTAGAAGGTCAATTTAGAGAAGTACAGATACTGAATCACTCTTTCTGTTAAGTAACTATTAGATTAAATTTTGCTAAATATCTGTAACTGTTCTTCATTAATGCCAGTTTTCCAGTTATGGATTAAAAACTATGTTATTCATGGTAATATACCAGGCAGTTGATAAATGGTAGCTAAGGTAATGTCTAATCAATTACATTTTTTAACCAGCAATGTTTAATAACAAAAGGTTATTAAAAATCCAGAACCTTAAGAGAATATATTTTCTTACATTCTGAAAAACTATAATGTGAAATTAATAACATAGTTAACATATGCTATTAGAATCATACAACACTCCCTCTCAATCCCAGAGATAACTGGCAAATAGGTCAACTACTGGAAAAGTGCTTTTTGTGTGTTTTTTTTTTTTTTGCCACTACCATCACATGATAGAATGCAGAGAATTAAGTTTCTACTATTTCTATGCCCAAGAATTATTGTGTAATATTAATTATCAGAACTCTTTTCAAAGAAATTCAATAGTTAACAAGAAATAATATTAAGTAAGTAATTTGTTTTTAAAAGATTTATCCTCTAAATATATATCTTGGAAGTGCTGAAAAGTGTGATATATAGGAAATAGCACTGAAATGAAGGTTAAGAGATATATATATGTTTTTCTGCCACTATCTTACCATGTGATTTTGGACTTACTTCTTAAAATTATTGCACTCTAATTTTTTTTTAACTGAAAAATGAGTGAGTTGGACATGATGCACTCTAAATTCCATTTCAGTTATTTATGAACCAACTACCTTAAAAACACCCTAGAAATATCTGAGAAAAATATCTGACCACATTGAATTTCAAAATAAATTCTTGGGTTGCTCATATGTTGAAATGAGACTCTTTCTGCAGATATTAAGGTAACATAACATACAGAATATAACCCCTTGTTTTATTTGATTTTCTTCAGATTACATGCCTGCCTGCCTGGCTATAAAATGTAAGCCTTTAGAAATGGCTGAATTAAATAACCCAGAATGTTCCTGATTACTCTATTTTACTTTTTATTTAATATATAAATATTTTGATCACTTCTCAGTTTTAACACACACTCTGATGTTTACCACAGCGTAAATAATTTGAAATTGCAAATTGAGACTCTAGAAATTTGCATATTTCCTTGAGACTCTATACCTGCAATTCCAGTGGTCACCACTATGTGTCAGTAGTACCTCCTACAACATAAATGTTCTACTAGTTTTGTTTTCCAGTTGCACATATTTAAGACTTTTAATGAAAATAAGATATTTATTGTGTTATAGTATTCACTTAAGACCACAGAGCAACTACTGTGCAAAAAACAGTTTATTTACTTTGTTCCCATGCTAGTTGCTTCTAAGAGTTCCTTGCAAGGAGGCTTTTATATAGCTGATGGCTACCAAAACAGTGCCATTTCTGCTTATGTCTTCTAATGAGTCCTTTGTCTACTTCCTAAAGTAATTTTCTGCTTTTCTTCGCAGACAGCAGGGTAACAAGCTTTTGACTCTGGATCATTTCTGCCTATTTCATGCTCTTTTTCAAATAAAACTCTGATTCAAATAAAAATGTACATTGGCTGCCATAAATTTTTCACCTAGTTGATTATTATAGGCTCTTAAGTAGAGATTGCAAATGCATTTCATTTTATATGCCAGTGATAATTTGTTATAGTGGCTTCCTGGATCACAGTGTTGAGAAGGAGTAATAATGTCTGTCATGGGTATGAAACTGGGAAGTTGTGATACACAATTTCCAGGTATTTGCCAGCCCTATTCTTGACTGATAATACAATCTATAAGTTGTATTTAGAAAAATGAAAGAATAACAATAAATTTTAGAAATATGTGGGACATAGGCATCTGATTATCCACACTCCAAGCATTATAATAGAATGGTTCTAAGAAGCCTTCTAGTAGTATTTTACTCTGTCTAATAAAAACAGGTGGTTAATATATGTACTAAGACTAATACTTTTGATTTTTTATTTTCACACTGCTGAATACCAGAACTACATAGGATAGTATAACTAGCAGTTGTGGTTGGAATGATTCTTCACCCAGAGTCCAGGTATAGCCAACAACTCTGGTATAATTAATGTCCAGGCAATGATACTGAATGCAACATAATGATGCAAAGATAGATTTTTTTTTTTTCAAAAATAGCTTAGACATTACAGAGAATTGTAAAACACAGATGTGCAGAACCACAGTCACAGCCTCTAAAGGAGATATCTGAAAAAGAGAGAATAACGTGTTTTTACCTCATTGAAAACACCAGAAGAATGATCTTGAACATAGTCCAGAGGCTTTTTAGGAGGCTGGGTGTAGATGCACCATAGAAGCAGAAGTGTAGGGATGGAATGGAGGAGAGTCAATGGCAGCAAGGAATGAACATGTGGAAAAGGTGACAACAGTTAGAAATTGAGTGTTGACAGCACCAGCTACACAAACAGAATGACATGAATGGAGCAAAATCGGGGCAGCTGGGAGGAAGTGTGCAACGTTTGCAAATATTCTCAAGCACTGGGAAAATTCGC